ACATACTTAAAGAAAGCTTTTTAAACTCCACTCGGTCAACGTTTTGGTTTTGAGCAACACGAGAAAAAGTAGTAATGTGGTTATGAATATACTGGACTAACGAACTTCTACTGTACTTGATACATATACCCAACGCACTATACATATTTATATATATATGTACGTAGTATATCTTCGTTTATATATCATAAAAATGATTAAATGTATTATTATTTAGTTTATATCTTAGAAAAATGACTTGATTGTTTATGGTTTTGATTTATTTTGATAGAGAAAAACATTCGCCATGATATTTCAATTTGAGCTAGATTTTGTACTGATTACGTATAGTACTGTACAACGTTCACAACTTTTCCATGATAGTAAGTATTTTTCTTCATTTTTCTAACTATACAATATTAGGTAATTTATTGAAAACGATAATTTAAGAAAAATAAAGGTGACTTTTTGTATGAATTACTGCAATGTGTCTATCTTCTTTACATCAGAAGTTATTTATACGTTCTGAATATGTTATTTTAATATAACATAATTAATTACTTTTAGACAAAACAGATACTACAAAATTCTCTGAGCTTTACCACTCAGAAGGGATATTCATCTTTTACAGATAACCAAAATTCAGCTAATTCCATGCTGCTAAATTTTATTATCAATGTATTGTTGTAAGGCAACTGAATAAGATTCTTTTCTTCTGCAGCAGTAAATTCAGACGGGGCACTGGCATTAAATGGTTTTTGAATTCACGCAAATTTATCGATATTTTTATTATGAAGACATTTCTCAAACCATGTGATAAACGTTCTTCAAAAACAGGTTTCATACCACGAGAGAAATCATCTCTATTGATCAAAAACTGTTGCAACAAGGGGAAACATTCTTTTCCTCCGTTTTCATTTTATTTTCATTTCCATAGTTTAAATATTTTTTTATATATAAGCTAAAATTTTCTCAATCGACTTTAACAAGTTCATGTTGCTTCTCTGCAATAAGAGATTCAGAGCATTCATCTTTTCAAAAATATCACATAAGTATGCTAGTTTTACCAAAAATCTTTATTCACAAAATTTCCGGCATACTTGTGGTCTTCCTCTTTAAGAAAACTATAAATTTCCTGTCGCAGTTCAAACGTACGAGATAAAACATTACTTCGAGAAAGCGAAGTGCTGTAGTATGACAAAGACGTGTGCCCAAATCCCATATCCCCACATACTTTTTTGAAAAATATCACTTTCAACGGCCGATTTTTTTAAATAAAATTTACTACATTCACTACTTATTTTAAGGCTTGGTTCAATGTAGGACTCGGATGTTTTGATGCGAGTACTTCCCCGTGAATATCGCAATAGGTCCACAGTACATCAGGGTATTTGCTTCGAAAATTTGCTTGAAATCCTCAATAACACCGGACATAGAATGAGCACCATAAGTACAGATACGAACGCATTTGGTCCATTCCAAATTATTTTCGGATATAAAAATATCGAGGATCTCAAACAATTCGTGAGCTTTAGCACTAGCAGTGTTACTTTTAAAAGAAGAAGTCTTATACAATGTTATTACTATCTATAAACCGTATATAGCGAATCAAATGAGCATCATTATATTACTGTATCTGTGTCCTCACTAGCTGCAACCGAAATTCTTCCTTTTTTATTTGTTCAATTAATTGAACATTGGAGATTCTTCGCCACGTGCCGTATTCTGCGACTGATGGACAAAGACAGTTTTGAAAGCCTCAGCAGACTCACCTGTCATAATGTGTATCATTTACAACAGCTGGAAAAATGAGTTTTTCTGCAATGTCATGAGGATGATTTGGACTAGGTCAACTAGATCTCCCATATTATCAAATTGAATTGAAAGTGGAAGTAAAATTTTGAAAAATTCATAATATTTCGTGAAATCTGTACTTCGTGGTCCCTGTAAGGAAGCCACGAAGTATAGCTTAGTGTCGATCTTAGAGTCTGAGAAATATACGTACAAACTTCAGTCCAGATCAGTTCAAAAATAAAAATTCTGAAATAAAGATTTGTATAAAAGAGAAAGAAACAAGATTTCATTTATATACACGTAGAAATATACTCTAGATCTTTTTAATTAATTAAAGTAATTATACAAATAAACAAAATTTGTGTAAATTTCAGAATCTATTGCAAGCAAATTCATTTAGACACATGTCATTGTGCATGTGATAAAAGAGAATATTAAGTGTACAAGTGAAGTGACATTTTTTTTATAATTCTGAAGATCGGCGTTTTGCATTTACTGAATGTACAGTATTAAAAGCTCTTTATTAAAAGTAGAAAACAGTTACATAAAAATTATAAAGTATTTAATATTATTTAAATATTTAAACTGTTTAATCATTTTATAATTAAAATTTTTATGGCATAATTATTAATAATTTACTGTTTATAATATTGCCCAAATTTACATATTTTCAAAACGACGTTATTGATTTATTACATTATTGATTTGTCGATCTGTGGTCAATCACAAAACCACGGAACCTGACTTTCTGCCTGACCAGGTGGAAGTTTCGCAGTTTTCACCGCATATCATACATATAAATGAAACCAAGTTTCCTCCCTGAATGCAACCTTACTAGAAGCTTGTAAAAAGTTTATTTTTTTATTTAAATATATTAATGAAAACTAAAATTACATTAATTTTGTGTATGTTTTAATAAAAAATACTGTATACAGTATTTTGTAGTAGATCTGAATTTAACGATTTATTTTCATTTTTGATTCTTCCACAATGGAAACCAAGAGGGCATTTTTCATTCTTCTCCTTGATTCTACAGACTCATATTCACTGTTATCGTGTGGTATGAGCTGGGACTAGCTATAACCAAGTCTTATTGCTCGTAAAAACTTCTTGTTGTCGCTTATACAGATTCGGTTTTGGGTTCCTCAAACCGATAAGCTCATGCCTTACTTTTGTAGTATTGTAGAATTTATTGCATTTACAAAATGGGCAATTCTCCAAAGAAGAAAGCTCTTCAGGAGGCTTTTTAGATACGTATGAAATTCTTAAAAACATCGCGAAAAATGCCGTTTGGCCAACCATTGGGAAGGTATAAACCATGACCAAATAACTTTGTTCAATTGTTTTATTCACTTGCCTACTGGTGTGCTTTTTCCACCTGACCACCGATAAGTGCAATTCGAGTCAGGGCGATGTAGTGTTAGTATATTTCAATATTTCGTAACTGTAGTGTACAATAGTCATATTTTCTATACGTTTAGTCTGTCATAGACTATTGTTTACTCATATGGTCATTCATAACTGTCTCAAATCTTAACAAAAGACTCATAAGTAAGAAAAAATTTAAGTGTACACCAGTGTTTCTCAACGGGGACGATATCGCCCCCATGTGGGCGTTTTTCCATGTTGAGGGGGCGATTAGTAACAATTTATATTTTGGGGGCGAAAAACAATTTTCTGGGCGATATAGTAAAACATTATATTAAGAATAATTAGATATTTTATTCGTTATATATCGTACAATAATTTAACAAATAACATTATACTAGTCACTAGTCTATTCAATGCGGTACGAATTTGGCGTTAGCCTTGTCCCTCGGCATCGGAATTTTGTAGTGAAGGGGGCGATACTACTTTGAAGGGGGCGACGATTCGTTAGAGGTTGAGAAACACTGATGTACTGTACACTGTCTTTGCAAGATGCTTCATCTTTCCACAATAAATATTTATTAATTTCAACAGTACTGTATTTATAGATTTGAATGACTTTTTTATGATTATTGTATTTCTGAAATATAGTAATCTACCTGATATGGACTATTTGATCAATTATATGACCTCACTTCCTACAGTACACGCAGCAATTAATTTCTGGATTTGGCCAATTGTATGAGCCTTAAAATGTTTCTTATTCCAGTTTCAGGTCGCGGATCTGTTCAATCTGTTTTTTTTTTATTATATTCCTTCTGTGTTTTTCTATGATTTGAAAATTTAAATGTACTGTATTTCTGTGGGTATAAGAAACCTGAAATTTCCTGAAATTCATTAGTTTCTCAGATTCAATTAGGGATTTTGCATCGTGGTAGGATATTGATTTAATCAAAATTAACTTGCTTTATAATAAGTTTAGCTAACTTTTGTGAATGACATGAAGTACAGTATTATTAAGCTCACTTGTTATTATTATTATAATTATATGTTATTAATTAACAGATCTAATTATTTGTTTGCTTAAATTGTTATTATTATTAAATGTTTCAGTGCAAAGATTATAAAATGACTTACTGTAAAATGTACAATAGGACAAAAATAACTGTAAAGAAATCGTTATTACCACGGACAATATCGGTTTGTATAGATTATGTAAGTATAAATAAGTGTAACTGCTAATTTTCTTATGTTTTAAGTTAACACAACTACTTAAAACATTTTTAAAAGTCTTTTAACAGCAAGTTATTTTATTACTTTTGTTTTTCTTTATTATTTAAACACAGTACCAAGGGTAGTTGGTGATTGAAATTGACCGAAGAAATTACTTGAAAATGAAACACAAACCATTTTTGCAAAATCATTATAAGCAAATTTTGTTATATTTTGCCTACTAATTTATTTTAAAAATTAAAATTTAAAAAATGCATTTGAACTCTGTTCTTTCTGTTATTTTATTTAATTTCACAAAAATATTGGTCCATGAGGGATAGGAATGAACAAAGCACTGGATTAAACTAATAGGATTATCTCCTCTATTCAAAACCATGCAATAATTTTTATTTTAATTCTTTAATGAGTTAAAATTCTTTTTAGCTTTATATTTTTTGCATATTTATGAAATTAATTAATAACGACAATTGTGGGTGGTGTGTCGCAACATTTTGCTTTCGCTGGAATTGCTTTCTCGGATTTGACCCTGACTATAAATAAAGTATCGTTGCTGAAAAATGAAATCAACGTATCGGTAGAGTATGGATACAATTTTGTAACAGAATATGAGATACGAAAAATTATAATTTACATATAATTTTTAAATTTTATTTTAACGATGTATACAAGAAAAACTTTATATCAGTTTACTAGAGTTGGTACGAATATCATGGTTAATATTGGCTTTTGTTCGTAGATATCTTTGTATAAGTTTTTGCATCAGCTTCTGTTTGGTAAGAAAAAAAAAATAGCTTACAATAATTAAATTTCAATGTTTAAAATAAATGCTTGCGATTTAAACTCACATTATTTGCTTCTTCATCATCAGTTTCCTGTTCCTTTATCACATAGCAACATTTCTAAAATTCATTCCGAATTATTTTTACTTGCGAAAAATTTTGACGAATGAATTAGTCAAATAACTGAAATAACTTACCAACCAAGCCAAATATCTTCGTAAGGGGCGTAATTTTGTTCGATCGTGGACCTTTCTCGCTTCTATTAATGAATATATCCCAGAACATACCGCGTACCAATTCAATGCTAAATTGAAAGGGCTGGGGACGATTTCTTCAGTATAAAAATATGTGGCACATTGTCTGGTTCTGACATACTTCCATTCCATATCAGCATTATCCTAAAATATTGATAATGATGAAGTATAAAATGCATGCTTGAAAAATAAAGTTAATATAACGTGAAATGTGGTAAATTCTTACCACGACTTTTTGGAAGGTATTTGTTAAAATGGCAATCAGCAAATTAATCAAAATTATAATCATTAACACGTGATAACCACCAAATAACAAAGTCCCGATAGTCTGGGTGAAAGTGTGATGATTAACTTCGTTGGAAGGAGCTCCGATTTTACTCCCAACGACCACTTCTACGGAATTTAGATCGATTAAACCGAATAGTGCCCAGAATAAAGCCTTCATTGAAGAAAATAGGCTATAAAAGTTTCAGAATTTAGTATTTTAATTTACTTTATTCATACTACTAAATAAAGTTACTTACGAAGTGAAAGCAGCATCTTGAAGAATTATCTCCCCGCCGTTTTCTTTTCGTTCCATTCCTTTATAGTGTGAATATAAACTTGTCATGCAAATAGCTGTGGTGCTAAGAAGAACGAAAAAACCCACCAAGAACCACGCGATATTGACTAGCATTCGTTTTAAAGAAACCTAAATATGAAATATAATCCTCGTAGTTTTTAATATTTCTAAGCAAATGAATGTGCATTCTTCACCAATAACAATAATCTTCATGGTAAATTATTTATCTAAAATTTATTTCACTTATTTAAAAATTTATTACCTGAATTGGACCCAAGTAAAAACTTTGCTGGAAGAAATACATCATTTTTGCAATAGCTAGAACTCCCGAACAGCTTAATAAAGCTTCGTGTATAAGAGTAAAGTCATACGGTGGCCAAAGCTCCCTAGGAACGTCCTTGGCTCCCGTGCGATGTATATCGATCCACGATTTAAACCAGAATATAAAGGTCATCAATAACATCAATTCCAGCACGAGATTATACCTATGGTAATTTAAATATAATTAATGGTATAAATTAAAATAGAAAGTAAGTATTATTGGATAAGATTGAAGAATTCCATAGCTCTAAAAGTCAATTGACCGACATATATTTTAACTGACTTTTAACTCATTCTATATTTTGAAATATTTAATATTTTTTACATTATACGGATTGGGTTTGATTAGGATATAGTATGCAACACATGGGTGATCTGCTAAGGCGGATGCCTTCTGGAGGACGTTCTATGGGAAACTGGCCTCCACTTAGATGATAGGCACGTGAAGAAAAGCCAAAAAATTTCACATGGTCATCCGTTGGTGAAACGTGAATCCGCGACGACTACCAGTGTTCATTGATTTTATCCACTCGGCACTGGTGGCTCTATCTGATACGAAATTTTTTAGGGAAAATATTATCGGTTAAGTTATTACGTATAGTTTAAATTGCAAAATTCTTAGTACCTTATCGTTAAAATTAGAAAAATCCGAACCTTTCAGATAGCCAAATATTTTATTATGTATAAAAACACTTTCGGCCTTTTAGACAAGCTTCAACTAAAGAAAACTTTTGCAATAGAACATTGAATATTATAGAATCGAATAACAGTTTGAATTAACACAAAAATATAAATATAAATATTAGAATGGTTTAATTAACACGAATATAATTTTAAACGGCATTTCAATATGTTAACAGTTAATCCGAATAAGACTTAATTACGAAACAAAAAAATAAAATTTGAATAAAATAAAAAAGAGCAATGGATTTTAATTTAAACCATTGTTCGATTCTACAACATTCGAGTTTCGTTGCAAGAATTTTCTGTAACTGAAGCGGGCTGAAAATGGCGGCCCCTCCCAATATATAGTCTATATATACAGATTGACGCCAATGAGAAAATAGACTCTCTTAATGCCCACAGAGAGGGTCTAAAAAGTTAAAATTAATAAAAAAAACAATGGAATCCCACCAGTTCCATAGATTCTTAAAAAATCTTTTATAGCCAAACAGTACGAGGCGTCTGATTGAAGCCCATACGAATCCAGTAACCCAAAGTACAACTGGAATCTCCAATCCTAAAATTAAAGAATAAATTAAAATTAATAATAAAAAATTACAATAATATGAAACAAATAGAAAATAACCTGTATTTGGAGGACCTCTTTCAGAAGTATTCGTATCGATGCCAATCATTGTAAAAAGCAAGACGAAGAATATAAAATATGCTACAAATTCATTTATAAATCTGTTTAGAGGACAACGCCATCGTTTACCCCAATAAGTGTTTGGTGCTGTCATAACAACGATACACACGAAAGGAAAAATAAATATTCTAAGCAGTACATGAGCCACTTTCCGAGCTAGGGAATATCTTATCCAAGTTAACCATGCACCGTTCCACTCCGCGCTAACTATTTTCTGAACATGAGGATGAGCCACAAACTAAAATTCAAAATATTTGTTTTAAAATCCAAATCAATAAGTCAGGTTTTATTTTAATGCCATTAAAACTTACTTCTTTCTGAGAGTAATCGAGAGCAGTTTGTAATCTCGGATATTTCAAATGCAAACCGCTAAAACCTTTTTTAATTTGCAGAATCCGTTCTACTTCATTAGGTTTTGGACATTGCGATAATAAATCTACTGCGAAATTTCGAACGCATTCCGACAAGGCATTATACTCCAGCTGAAAGTGTTAATTGGTTAATTAAATTTTCAATTTTCAAGATGAAATTTGAGTTTGAAACAAACCGTAAATTCTTTTTCTAGTTCGGCGGAATCTCTTATTTGTTTATCCAGTATAAAAGCTGTCAAGATAGGATCGTTTGTTGTAAGACAAATAAAGTAGGGGTTACATATAGCCTTGTATATATTTAATCTTTGTAAAGTTGGATCTGCACTCACATCTTTGGCAAGACTTTTACAATCTCTGCACTTACCTATTTAGAATAAATTAATTTTAAAATAGATAATTCTAAGTTTTAAGCTTCTTTTGTAAAAACTTTTAAACATTTTTAAGAATTTCATAGTAACAACTTCAAATATAGCGGACTATTTCACTTATGAAAAGTTTGATTAGCCTATATATAAATAATAAAACATATTTAAAATATATAAATCTTACATGTTGGGAAATGCGGTTCGGGTATTTGATGACTTCTTTTTAATAAAAGCCGAATTATTTCAATAGAACCTCTTTGAGCAGCTAGTACAAGAGGTGTCATGCCATAATCAAATTCTATGCTCTTATAGTAAGGCTGGAATTCCAAATCTCTCTCCCTGGAGCGAGAAATTAATCAAATTTAGAAAATTCAAAATCATCGAATTAATTATTTTGTACTTACTTAAGAGCATTTAATATTATTTCTATAATTTTTATATTTTCTGTGCGTATGGCATGAAGAACACAATCTTTTATGTCTATGTTGGGAACGGTGAGTAAAAACTGAACCATCTCGACGTTTTCATTTTCGACTGCGATGTGAAGAGCAGAAGAACCTTGATAATTAACGCAATTTACGTCTAATTGATTATTCTGAAAATTAATCGAAAATTAATGAGATACTTATAGATAGAAAACGACCTTTCCTTATTGTGTTTATGAAATTTTTAAAAGATACGTAAAAGATTTCTCGTATACGTAAACATAATACTTCAAAAATCTTTACCGACAAGAAATCTTTTAATTCATTTAAGTCTCCTTTCTTGACAAACTGGAAAAATTCTGTTTCCTTCTGGTCCAATTCAGGTAAAGAAGGTTGTTTGGGACTATCCTGAATTTGCAAAAGACTCGAACTCGACTGCATACCTTATTCAATTTGTATCGTCAATACCAAATAATTCTCGATATTAATAAATACACCACAATAGTAACTCGATACTGAATAAAATTAAGTGATACAAAGTTTAAAATGTTTAGAAATGGAAATTCGAACAAAAGAACAAAATTACAACGTATTTCAAAAGAGACTTCAAACGAAAAAGCATTCGAAACTTCAAACGAAATAAAGTTGAATTTCAAAAGACTAAAAAGAAAATTATCGTATAAATGAATAAAACTTGTCATCACTTTGAATAAATAATTAAATAATCATAATAAATAATAATGGATTAAGGGAATCATTATTTGTATTAACATTGTAAAATTTTCATTTTAACCCTCAGGGTTTGAANATACTAGTTAACTCGAATTGGTCAAAGAAAAAAAATCGAAGTTCGATTTATGGAAATTTTGGTAAATATCCAGATTTTGTGCAATAATTTATCTACAGTTACAGTTACAATGCTACAGGAAGTTACAGTGCCTAGGTCACACATGCTGTGTTGAAGATATTAGTCCATTCCCGCTGTCACGTTACATGCTGTTTATTTTTTGTGGTACGTGGTTCTTGTAATTTATACAAAATTTTTGATTACTTTATTCGTTAGAAGAACGTTATTTATTTCATGTAAATTAAAGCTATGGAGAGTTCATAAAAATACCGTACAAATTCCCATTCGAGCTAAACATTTACAAAAATTCCAGTTAGCTTGTTTGACCTTACGTGTCAATTCCTCTGCTTGACAATCAGGAAACAAATGACTTATTCCGGTTCGAATAATCAGTTTCTACTTTATATACGTGTAAAACAAGTGTATATAGACTACATACAATATTCCACTGTGGACACAGGTAGAACGAACGTTATATAGAAATTCGTTCGTTAATCCGGCACCTGATAATCTAGCATATTCCGAAAAGTTGTCAATAATCCGGTATTAATTTACTATAAACTAGCATGCTATTATTGTTGGCATGTGTTGGTATTTTTTATCATATGTACACAATACACCGTTTATATCTTCAAACTATTATATGCAAAAGAATCATCCTTAATGTTGATTTTATGCAACATGTTTCTTTTATTAATTTTTTGTAGTTATTTCCAATTAATCTAAACAGTTAGGTTTGAACTGTATCATTTTCAGACTGATTACAGAGCATATAGCAGCGTGCTCTGGCACTAAATGTATAAAAATGTATGAATTATTCAGATTGCATATCACTTATCAAATTTTGGGAAAATATATAAACGTGCGATAATCTAGCACCACACTAGTACTAAAGATTGGTCAGAAAGTGTCTCTTGTAAGATCTTTCTATGAGGAATTGCTTGTGATTTAGTTGTTACATACTTAAAGAAAGCTTTTTAAACTCCACTCGGTCAACGTTTTGGTTTTGAGCAACACGAGAAAAAGTAGTAATGTGGTTATGAATATACTGGACTAACGAACTTCTACTGTACTTGATACATATACCCAACGCACTATACATATTTATATATATATGTACGTAGTATATCTTCGTTTATATATCATAAAAATGATTAAATGTATTATTATTTAGTTTATATCTTAGAAAAATGACTTGATTGTTTATGGTTTTGATTTATTTTGATAGAGAAAAACATTCGCCATGATATTTCAATTTGAGCTAGATTTTGTACTGATTACGTATAGTACTGTACAACGTTCACAACTTTTCCATGATAGTAAGTATTTTTCTTCATTTTTCTAACTATACAATATTAGGTAATTTATTGAAAACGATAATTTAAGAAAAATAAAGGTGACTTTTTGTATCAATTACTGCAATGTGTCTTTTTTCTTTACATCAGAAGTTATTTATACGTTCTGAATATGTTATTTTAATATAACATAATTAATTACTTTTAGACAAAACAGATACTACAAAATTCTCTGAGCTTTACCACTCAGAAGGGATATTCATCTTTTACAGATAACCAAAATTCAGCTAATTCCATGCTGCTAAATTTTATTATCAATGTATTGTTGTAAGGCAACTGAATAAGATTCTTTTCTTCTGCAGCAGTAAATTCAGACGGGGCACTGGCATTAAATGGTTTTTGAATTCACGCAAATTTATCGATATTTTTATTATGAAGACATTTCTCAAACCATGTGATAAACGTTCTTCAAAAACAGGTTTCATACCACGAGAGAAATCATCTCTATTGATCAAAAACTGTTGCAACAAGGGGAAACATTCTTTTCCTCCGTTTTCATTTTATTTTCATTTCCATAGTTTAAATATTTTTTTATATATAAGCTAAAATTTTCTCAATCGACTTTAACAAGTTCATGTTGCTTCTCTGCAATAAGAGATTCAGAGCATTCATCTTTTCAAAAATATCACATAAGTATGCTAGTTTTACCAAAAATCTTTATTCACAAAATTTCCGGCATACTTGTGGTCTTCCTCTTTAAGAAAACTATAAATTTCCTGTCGCAGTTCAAACGTACGAGATAAAACATTACTTCGAGAAAGCGAAGTGCTGTAGTATGACAAAGACGTGTGCCCAAATCCCATATCCCCACATACTTTTTTGAAAAATATCACTTTCAACGGCCGATTTTTTTAAATAAAATTTACTACATTCACTACTTATTTTAAGGCTTGGTTCAATGTAGGACTCGGATGTTTTGATGCGAGTACTTCCCCGTGAATATCGCAATAGGTCCACAGTACATCAGGGTATTTGCTTCGAAAATTTGCTTGAAATCCTCAATAACACCGGACATAGAATGAGCACCATAAGTACAGATACGAACGCATTTGGTCCATTCCAAATTATTTTCGGATATAAAAATATCGAGGATCTCAAACAATTCGTGAGCTTTAGCACTAGCAGTGTTACTTTTAAAAGAAGAAGTCTTATACAATGTTATTACTATCTATAAACCGTATATAGCGAATCAAATGAGCATCATTATATTACTGTATCTGTGTCCTCACTAGCTGCAACCGAAATTCTTCCTTTTTTATTTGTTCAATTAATTGAACATTGGAGATTCTTCGCCACGTGCCGTATTCTGCGACTGATGGACAAAGACAGTTTTGAAAGCCTCAGCAGACTCACCTGTCATAATGTGTATCATTTACAACAGCTGGAAAAATGAGTTTTTCTGCAATGTCATGAGGATGATTTGGACTAGGTCAACTAGATCTCCCATATTATCAAATTGAATTGAAAGTGGAAGTAAAATTATGAAAAATTCATAATATTTCGTGAAATCTGTACTTCGTGGTCCCTGTAAGGAAGCCACGAAGTATAGCTTAGTGTCGATCTTAGAGTCTGAGAAATATACGTACAAACTTCAGTCCAGATCAGTTCAAAAATAAAAATTCTGAAATAAAGATTTGTATAAAAGAGAAAGAAACAAGATTTCATTTATATACACGTAGAAATATACTCTAGATCTTTTTAATTAATTAAAGTAATTATACAAATAAACAAAATTTGTGTAAATTTCAGAATCTATTGCAAGCAAATTCATTTAGAAAGAAAACATTGTGCATGTGGTAAAAGAGAATATTAAGTGTACAAGTGAAGTGACATTTTTTTTTTATAATTCTGAAGATCGGCGTTTTGCATTTACTGAATGTATTAAAAGCTCTTCTTTCTTAAAAGTAGAAAACAGTTACGCAAAAATTGTAAAATATTTAATATTATTTAAATATTTAAACTGTTTAATCATTTTATAATTAAAATTTTTATGGCATAATTATTAATAATTTACTGTTTATAATATTGCCCAAATTTACATATTTTCAAATCGACGTTATTGATTTATTACATTATTGATTTGTCGATCTGTGGTCAATCACAAAACCACGGAATCTGACTTTCTGCCTGACCAGGTGGAAGTTTCGCAGTTTTCACCGCGTATCATACATATAAATGAAACCAAGTTTCCTCCCTGAATGCAACCTTACTAGAAGCTTGTAAAAAGTTTATTTTTTTATTTAAATATATTAATGAAAACTAAAATTACATTAATTTTGTGTATGTTTTAATAAAAAATACTGTATACAGTATTTTGTAGTAGATCTGAATTTAACGATTTATTTTCATTTTTGATTCTTCCACAATGGAAACCAAGAGGGCATTTTTCATTCTTCTCCTTGATTCTACAGACTCATATTCACTGTTATCGTGTGGTATGAGCTGGGACTAGCTATAACCAAGTCTTATTGCTCGTAAAAACTTCTTGTTGTCGCTTATACAGATTCGGTTTTGGGTTCCTCAAACCGATAAGCTCATGCCTTACTTTTGTAGTATTGTAGAATTTATTGCATTTACAAAATGGGCAATTCTCCAAAGAAGAAAGCTCTTCAGGAGGCTTTTTAGATACGTATGAAATTCTTAAAAACATCGCGAAAAATGCCGTTTGGCCAACCATTGGGAAGGTATAAACCATGACCAAATAACTTTGTTCAATTGTTTTATTCACTTGCCTACTGGTGTGCTTTTTCCACCTGACCACCGATAAGTGCAATTCGAGTCAGGGCGATGTAGTGTTAGTATATTTCAATATTTCGTAACTGTAGTGTACAATAGTCATATTTTCTATACGTTTAGTCTGTCATAGACTATTGTTTACTCATATGGTCATTCATAACTGTCTCAAATCTTAACAAAAGACTCATAAGTAAGAAAAAATTTAAGTGTACACCAGTGTTTCTCAACGGGGACGATATCGCCCCCATGTGGGCGTTTTTCCATGTTGAGGGGGCGATTAGTAACAATTTATATTTTGGGGGCGAAAAACAATTTTCTGGGCGATATAGTAAAACATTATATTAAGAATAATTAGATATTTTATTCGTTATATATCGTACAATAATTTAACAAATAACATTATACTAGTCACTAGTCTATTCAATGCGGTACGAATTTGGCGTTAGCCTTGTCCCTCGGCATCGGAATTTTGTAGTGAAGGGGGCGATACTACTTTGAAGGGGGCGACGATTCGTTAGAGGTTGAGAAACACTGATGTACTGTACACTGTCTTTGCAAGATGCTTCATCTTTCCACAATAAATATTTATTAATTTCAACAGTACTGTATTTATAGATTTGAATGACTTTTTTATGATTATTGT